ATGTAAGTACGATCAAAATGCAATATTATGGTACCATTAAGCTGGTCTGATGATGGAGTCAGGAGGTGGCCATAGGAACTCCTAAATGAAACGGCGGCATCGCATCGAATTTGGGTTCGATGGATTTGTCTTTTCGAGCACTTTAGTACTAGATGATGTCCAGGGTCCTGATCATGGAGTTAGGAGGTGGCCATAGAAATTCCTAAACGAAATGGTGGAAACTTATCGAGTTTGGGTGTGTTGGATTTGTCTTTTCGAGCATTTTGGTGCTAAATTGTATTGTAATTGAACCAAGGCTCTGAGATTGAGATACTATAGACTAAGGCCTGGTGAATGCCAGACCTACGTCATTTTATAAAAACTGAAAGTTTGTCAGCGTATGCTCCCAATATAGGTTAGAATGTTGGTGGATTATGAAAAAAACTGTCTGGCAAGGAATTGGAACTGTCAAAGCTGATGTCGAAACAACTTCTAATCATTGCCCAAATATTATACATATATAAAAATCAGATTTTATGGTATAACGTAAGTAGAATTAGTCTATTGAATATACAGATGATTTTTATATAAAATATTAGGGCAATAATTAGAAGTAGTTTACTCATCAGCCAGACAGTTCCAACTCCTTGCCAGACGGTTTTTTTAGGATAGCTGCTAAAGTCACGATGACCCAAACTTCATGATTCACCAACATTCTATCCTATATTGGGAGCATACGCTGACAAACTTTTAGCTTTAATAAAATTACGTAGGTCTGGCGTTCACTAGCTCTAAGTCTACCTACTACCAAAAAGTGTAAAATAAAATTATAATAATAAAATACTTTTTTAATAAAAACAAGCTTTTATTCTGAAATGCAGTTGTTACTAAACCGAAAAAAATAATTGTATGCAAGGTTCAAATAATTTCGAAAGCTTGTAGCGTAAAAGAGGAATAAATTCCGTGCGCAATACAAGCTTTCGAAATTATTTGAACCTTGCATACAATTACTTTTTTCGTTTTATTATCATGTGTAACGGATTAACGATTAACGTTAACTTCCGTTAAATCTTGCTAAATGTAACGCTTTAACGTTTAATGAAGTTAATTTTTTTATTAACGGTTTAACGATTAACGAAGTTAACTATTTGATTAACGGTGCCCAGCTATGATTAACAATAATAGGACTACGAGAAACTAGACTTCCTGGTGGTCCTACTAGTAGAACATATTAGTAGGATCACGAGGAAACAGGGTTTCCCTCCCTCGTTTTTATTTGTGATAATTCATCCGACTAAACAAAATTTCTTTTTCCGATTCATTCTTCTGTGCCCACATTGGCTTTATAGAGTTTTGAACTTGATAACCTATTCAGGAGTCCGAAGGTGGCGGTCTAATTTGTCACGGAACCGGCGACCCCCAAGAAGTGAATGAGGAGCAAGGCCTGCTGGTCGGCGTGACGTCACTCATCTACACGAAGCTCCCCACTCTGCACCACAAAGTGGGGCTGTTCCACAAATGGGTCACCGACGAAGCACACACGAATGTAGAGGTCCATAATGTGTTAATGTTGTTTTGTTTGCTCATTAAATTGTGTATTTATTAATTCTCTTTTTATTTAGTCAAGAAATAATTTTGCTGTCCAGCAAATCAAGAGGCTTTCAGAAAAATCTAAAGGTGACTTACACGAGAACTATTTTCTGCTGAACTTTCCTTTGACAAGGAAAAATATACGATCGGAACACAAATTGTTAATTATAAAATCTTCCCTATTTCTTTCTTATTACTTTTACGTACACGGTAGAAACAAAATACACAAATAATGTAAACAATGAAAAAATATAATAAAATAATAATAAAAAAACGTGAACGGAGAACTATTTGCTTCATTTTTGTATTGAATGATCAAACGAACTTACCAAGTGAAGTTCGATCTAAATTATCCTGTTTTCGCCGAAGAGATTTAAGGTCCCTCCCAACCCGAAGATTTCTATATCTTCTTCCCTGGAGGTAAACGTCAATGTCATCTCTTCTCTAAATATAATGAGACCGCTCGGACACCGAGCCCACAGCGTGGTAGGGGTGGGGTTGCCCGCTCTTTTGTTTTTTAATACTACTACGCTGAATATTGTGTGCGGATTGGGTTGTCGTACAGGGGTACTACATGGTAAAATAAATCTCTTCGGCGAAAACAGGATAATTTAGATCGAACTTCACTTGGTAAGTTCGTTTGATCATTCAATTATTGGCCAAACCAAGGGGCCGGCCACTAATCATAATTAGCAACTAATACGATTTAAGGCCGGCTGCACACCGGCGACACGCGGCCGACACGTGACCGACAGCGGGACGATTGACGCGACACACGATTTGTCCTAAACTTGTTTAGTAGAACAAATGTATGTAGACAAATAAAAATGTCAGTACGCCCCTTGTGATATTTGATATTGGCAGGCGGAATTTGTTTCTTTAAATTGATGGAAATATTTTAGGGACATTAAAAGTATAGGTACGCTTCTGATAGTCAGTTTTTCGATGTATAGAATTATTGATTTTAGTCTTATAAGTTTTTATACTGAAAAGTATGAATTATTCAAGGAAACAAATATCTACCCAATGTCGCTTTAGGATACATTTAAGTTTCAAAATAAAAGCCATATTATGCATTTTTTAATACATGTTGTTAATCAACTGCACTAATTGCAAAGATGTAAATCAGCTAATTTAATCTTTGACCTCACTAATTACAAGAACATTAAAATAAAAGCAGGAGCATTACAAGCTTACCCTCGGTAACTCCATCTGTAGACATCCGGGGCGCGTGCTGTGTACTGACACGTGCCGACAAAACGCTCATTCCGATTATTGCGGCGTGATCTAGTTAGATAAATTCGTGTGCACTCGGCCTTACGAGATTGTGTTTCAATTAGGTTTATGAAATATTTTTAATACATAGAAAATGTTGTGAATACTGTTATTTGTAAGAAAGTAAGTAATCTGAAAATTAAAATCTGTACGTAAGATAAGTACCTACCTATACTCATAGTTGGATACTTTTATACCTAAGATGAAAAGCTTTTTTACGCTTTTATGATTGTAAAATGATATTTACTAAGTTTAGAAATTATATAAATTGTATTGTTAGGTACTTCTAGGCTGTTTCGTTTATTAATCTGAAATTCCAATTAGAATTTCAGATTTTTTATATAAGTCTCATACGAAAAAGTTATCAAATTAGCCTTAAAAACATTCATTCAATAGGTACTTTCTGTTCTCACTGCCCACTGGTACATTAGCCATTAATGTGACGCCCTAAAACAAAATCGAATCACCGTAATTAATTTAAGTTTAAAAAGCGCCTGCTCCTAACTGCATATCTTCCATTTTGATGCTAATCCTGTAACACGATCCCCATTCTTTGCCCATACAATTAGGGCACAGATAAACCCATGCATTATCTAGTCAGGAGCACAATGGAAAATATTACCCTTGCATCGGGACAAAAATTGTTAGTATAATATTTCAAGTGGGGCGCAAAATGTACCATGTGTGATGTCGAAATGGCTCAAGTTTTGATGGTGCAATGATTGATGGGGTGTTGGTATTATTAATGATGGTAGTAGCCATAATTTTAAGAATTTAATCAGTGTTGTCCAAAAAAACATACAAAAATACTAGTGTCTGCCTCCAGCTTCTTCTCTCATTCTTCCTTCCTTCATTCTTCCCCCTATCTTATCTTAAATTGTTTGAGCTCCAAAAAGTACGTCGTTCTACATTACACAAAGTTAACTTTCTATTAAAGGATCTATTGAACAAAATTAGATAATTTTGATTGAAAATATTATTTATTCTCAAGATTAGTCTGCAAATTGTTTTTTAACTTCAATCCCGATGATTGAAGGTAGAGCTTAACTGATGAAAGTAATTTGAATAAATAAATAAAACAATGTATAAGTATTTACGTAATTTAATATCGTATTTCGTGATAGTTTGTCTCATGAACGATTACAATTTACATTTTCTTATCTGATACAATTGCGTTAAACAATACAATACTACATGTTTCATATTCAAACGAATACACCACAAAATACGGGTTTTTTCCACCGAGCGAGTGAATTGAATATTATTTTTTTCGTATACACCTTCTAAATGAAGATAGATATTCTTTTCGTTGTATTTTTATTCGAGTAAAATCTCCATTTAATAAATACAGGATATGTTTTAGATATGGTCGTTACTTCGGTACTCATTCGATGTAGCGTACAAGCCGTGAAGTATCCTAACAAAATTAAAACCAATGTACATTTAAAATTTACAATTGTACTTACAATAAATATATCACAGATTTTACAGAAACGCAAATTACATTACGGGTAGTAAAATTAATTTGAAACCGGATAACTTTTTACAAGATACCGCCCTGAGCAATAATCAATTTGGTGATTGGGCTTTATAAAAATCTACTCGACTACTCGAATCTAGCAACTGATCTATTAGATATTAATAACTATTTATATTTACATTAAAATTACAGAGTATTTACATTAAATCCTACACCCACAGCACTACCGACTCGTCGCCGTCGATTGTACAGTCAGTTACACAAGTTTGGTTTTGATATCTCACTTAAAATAGAAGTCTAAATAATGATAATTCGTGTACAGTCTAATAACAACATAAAAATTACCAAACTAACATCAACAAAAATATTTACATAATCTTGTATTGTAGAGTCATTTACTAAAATTACAGTGAATATTTCAGTCAGTTGTCATATAAACAAAACAAAAAGTACAATCAACGCAAAATATAAAATAAAACAGTCTTTCATCGTTTACAAAAAAAAAATATTTAAACCATTGGTTCTATTGTACACGCAAAGAAAAACTATTGGTGTATTAGTCAGATGGAGGTAATTAAAATAAAATGGTACAATATTACAAAAACTTTTTGACGTTGAAATAATCAAAATGGCGACTAACCTAGCCCACACAACGTTGGCTACTTGGACGCCAGAGGCGCAGTTTGCGCGTACTGCTGAGCGCTGCACGTTGGCAACGAGAATGGGTTTACTGAGAACGGTGATGATACTAGCCCACCCATTCCTGGGGACAAGAGAAAAATTGGTTAAAAAGCTTCAAAAATAGTTTTATTTTTTTCATAATAAGAAAATGCAGTTTCGTATTTTATTTGCGAGTGTACAATAAGCATGCTAAAACAACGAAAAACTCAGAAAAAATGAAATTGATATACCTAGGTTATAAAAACATAAAAAGCTTGATAGGTACAAGTTAGTTAATGGGTGAATACTTTTAAGGAATGGTGAAATTGCTTGGGAATGGGATGAAAAGGAGACATTAGCAAACTTAAAAGGCTCACGTTGGGGCACGGAAGAAAAGCCATACAAAACAATTCTAACAAAAACAAAAACTACTAACACTGCACTGCAAGATGCTGCCAATTTTGTTGGTGGTGCGGAGGGCTGTGCCTGACTACCGCAAAGGCGCTCCTCAGTTTGCTCTCTTTACTCTGAGGCCCTTTCATATCGCCGTCGTTGCATTTTGTAGTGTTTGCCGGACAGTCAGCCGCCTTAGAATTCCCATTTCTTTCACTGTAATGTCCGCTATCTTTCGTGTTATACGCGTTATAGTGATGGTCAGACGATAAATGTCCATTCATGTTGGCCGGGTGATACGGGCCAAGGGACACTGGACGAGAGAAACAGGGGTTAACACAAAGCGACGTACACAAACAGCAGGAGAAAGCGTTGGAAATGTGAAATCTTGTCTGCTTTAGGCTCGTATTAATAAACAGGTCTTATTCTTGAGACTTGCGAATGGGATATAGTGTTGTGTGGAAATACGAGTTCTTGAAAGTTTTCAGCCAAAAATTGGTTTATTAATACGTGCCTATTCAAACAAAGGAAAGGTGAAGAACAATAAATAAAAATATAAAAATCATAATATAAAGATTATTTCATCAAAGTTATTTGGAACCTGTTTTCAACTAAGAATTAAATAGGTAAGAAACATCTGATGATAAAAAAAATCGTTGCTTAATCAATAAGATCAGAGATTGTCCTTTCTCGATCAGGCGGGGCAGTACCGTGGCGAGACGGAGCCACCGCTGTAGGTATGGGTACCACTGGTAGTTCCTAAGTCAAATAAATTCACTTACGCGAGCTGGTATTGAACAGCGACATCGGCGGCGCGGGGTAGTGTTGCGGGTGCGGGTAGGACACGGGCGCGGCGTGCGGCGTGGACGCGGCGGAGCAGTACCGCGGCGAGACGGAGCCGCCACTGCTACCGACCACAGCTTGGGTTCTACTAGTAGTCGCTGTCTCAATTGGTGTCACTTACGCGAGCTGGTATTGAACAGCGACGTCGGCGGCGCGGGGTAGTGTTGCGGGTGCGGGTAGGACACGGGCGCGGCGTGCGGCGTGGACGCGGCGGAGCAGTACCGCGGCGAGACGGAGCCGCCACTGCTACCGACCACAGCTTGGGTTCTACTAGTAGTCGCTGTCTCAATTGGTGTCACTTACGCGAGCTGGTATTCAACAGCGACGTCGGCGGCGCGGGGTAGTGTTGCGGATGCGGGTAGGTACCACGGCGAGACGGAGCCGCCGCTGTAGGTATCTGTACCACTGGTAGTTCCTAAGTCAATTAACTTCACTTACGCGAGCTAGTATTGAACAGTGTAATAGTGGACGCAGCAGAATACAGACAACTTTCCTAGAGAAGAGGTCTCTTTTGCGGATGTACCACTGTTTGACCAGATCAAAACCGCACTCAATGGTCCACTCCACGAGTGCACAAGAAAGGCTGCAGGAGAGAGCGGGAGGAATGGCGACGGATTGTGAGACTTGCCACCAGACCTGGTGTGACGACCACGACCACTCTGGCAAGAGTGTAGCGACGAAGAAGAAGACCACTGTTTGGTGACCACTAGTAATGGCTAGATCAGTTTCACTTACGCGAGCTGGTATTGAACAGCGACGTCGGCGGCGCAGGGTAGTGCTGTGGATGCGGGTAGGACGCGGGCGCGGCGTGCGGCGTGGACGCGGCGGAGCAGTATCGCGGCGAGACGGAGCCGCCGCTACGCGCGTACTCCTCTAAAAGAAAAAGCCTGGGGTCAACACGAAATTACCGTTAGGACTTTTAAAATGGGATTTTTGGTTTTGGTGTTTAGGTTGGAAGAGATTTATTATTTAAATTTAAAAATGATTCATTATTATACTAAGCATATGTATATGTACATCTTTTTTGGAAATAAAATATTTATTTATTTATTTATTATTTATTTTTCTTTTTTTTCTTTGTTTTTTAAACAATTGGAGTTTTTCTATAATAAAAAGGAAAGAACTGAAAAATAATGTTTTATGAAATTTTAGTGAGATCCTAGCTTATTTCGTAATGTGTATTGGGCAATTATAAATGAAAAAATATTTTTATTTGAGATGCAAATAAAATAATATGCATTTGAAATCAAATGATTGACTGTATTCATTAATACTTGTTAATGAATCAACACCAAAGATATTTCAAAATACTCGTATAGCGCGAAATCCACACACGCCGAAATCATTTTCGTTTTAGCGAATGACAGCTTTTGCTCGCTTCGATTAATTTTGCGAGCTGAAATTCTACGCGAAACAATAGGGGGAGTAGGCCGTGCTTGTAGTGATTCTTATTTATACTGGCTCAAAGCAAGTAGGTAACAAAAATATTCATATGAAATGTTTGTGCTGTAGTTACTTATCTAATTATGTGGTACATCAAAATTCATAAATTATCAATTTTCTCAATTTAATTCGAGATGGGGTCCAAAATGTTTTTTAAAGATAAAAATTAAAATCTATTAACTGGTAAATAGGAAAGTTGTTCTCCTGCAGTGGACACTAAATGACCTGATATGGGACCACCTCTCTCTCTGCTGGAACTCCTGTGAAGCCAGGATCTACAGCTTGACCGCTAATCAAACCCCAACCTGTGACGGCTTTTGTCCCGAGAAAATGACCAGATGATGATGATTATGATGATGTTTATCTACCGAACTAACCTTCAGTCCACTGCGAGCCAGCTGTGTCCTGGACGCTGACGGCCAGCTGTCCAGTGTAGGAGTTGAAGGGCATACTCGCGGGAGGTGACCTGGGCGCGCTGAGTCCCAACTGATTGTTCCTTGGCATCGAGTATAACGCTTCTGCTAGGTCGGCTGCTCGCTTTAGGATTATTTCCTGGTTGACAATAAATAAGAATTCAAATAATACACCGATTTAATACACCAAGTTATAAAAGGGATTCCGCAAAAAAGAGGGTAGCACCTAATGGAAATATTTTTTGCTAGTTTGTATAAAAGAAACGGAAATAATTTTATTAAACAGCTGTAAAAGTATGAAAAACCCTGCGCTTAAGAAAACTGAAAAGGAAAACAAACACGTAATGTACTCTACTGTATCTTGGGTTCTTTTTTAAACTTTTATATTAACCGCCCTAAGGACTGACATATTTTGCTTTATTGTCTTTACAACTTATTGATGAGAAATATCATCTTCCTATGAGGTGTATAAAACACAATTTTTTTCTTAATTCCTGCTCGAATTCTTGTAAATATAAACAATATTCTATAAACAATACAACCCTACCTTTGGCAACTTCTCCGGATCCCCAGGATGCCTCGGTATCAGCTTCTGTAGCCTCTGGAAGCCGTAATCTATCGTGGGCTCGTTGAGCGCTGCTATGCGAACACACAAAAACAAAATCAATCATTAGTCGCCCTAACGAATAGTCCTAATTGATGGATCGTACAAGATTGCCTATCTTGAGTTCCCAAATTACGGCTTCGAAGAAAAACTCGTAGCCGTAATGAGATTCTTGTAATTCTTTTTGTTTGGTATTTTAAATACAGCGTTTATTTTTGTTTGGGTATTCTCAATATCACAATATTTTGTTTAAACGTTTTAGAATGAAAATAAACCAAAAATTTTTTATCAGTTATACATATTACAAAATTGAGATTGATTAATTAAATATTTATTACTTGCATTATAATGACATCTTTTGTGAATGCTTTTTACTTTTCATACAAAAAACGTATTGAACATGTAAATACAAATAGACGATTATTGCATTCAAGTAGAGTGCCATTATTAGAAAGAAAGAAAGAAAGAAAAAATGTTTATTCAGTATCATCAACAATAAACTTATTTCAGTATCTCTTTACTGTCAAAAGTTTATTTTAAGCTCTTTATTAACTGCGATATTAAAAATAGACGTGTACTCACAAACATAAACAAATCTCCCTGGTGCTCCTTTGCAGAACTGCTTGCTTTTATAGGACAGCGTCACTTCCACCACCCCCGGTATATGCCGCGGAGGGGTCTGGACTCTTATCGCATGGGATGTTATCAGCTGGGGACAAAGACACCTTTGATTCTATGGAGAAGTGGATTGCTATTTATTGGGCCAACTTACATTGGTATCTGAGATCTCTTGGTACTTGAGATAATGTGAGATAATGAGACATAAAGATTAGTACAATAACAAATTATCAACATTGGCAAATCATAGAAAGTGCGTTTCGACGAACTTTGGCTGGTTATTTGAATTTTGATGCCTAGATTTATATTTACACCAAGACTAGGAACAAACTAAATTCGACTTCAGGACAGATCTTGGACTTAAACATAACCTAACGCACAATTGCTGACACGATCAAAGGCGGATGAAGGAAGGTAAAATACGCTGCAATTAGAAGTGTCTCAGGCGATTTACTTTGACTAATTTTACAACACTAGGCTACTTTTTGGACCTAATACACAATCTAGTACATAATAACTCACCTCACTCCAAACCAGCATCGTCCCGAAGACGACTTGCAGTCCATCGAAGAAGTTATCTCCCACTATGATGACGGTGGACCCGCCAGAGGTCCAGCCCTCGCTGGGGGATATCGCCTTGATGCATGGAGTCGCCACGGGCAGGGGTGGGTACAAACCCGCTGTGAAGTATACTTGATTTTGTGAGCAACGTATCAAAACAGTGTAAAAATTAGGGTTGACAATACGGGTCAGGACTTCAGATCATCTTAAAGTTGCCAACACTATTTTTTAAGACGAGACATTTTTATAAAAATCCAATCTCATTAACGACATTATCAAACATAGAATTTTAAAGCTAATTTGATTGGAGTATCAACTTGTTTATTTACTCGTGGTTATGATTGATAGTTTTAAACTGTCTGTATAAAAATGCTTCATCATCAATATGGGGCTGTAAACTAGTTAGCTACTCTACTACTATTTACATAAAATAACTGAAAGTTTTAAATAACTGACGCTCTATCCTAGAGTTATAAGTATGTTAGTTTGTACCATGGTTTGTACATTATAATATGCCAACGGAACAACGATCCGCAATTCAGCACATAACTGTTAGTTCCAGCGAAACTAACACGGTCGTAACTAGCAAACGCAAAAATAGCACCCCAAGCTATAAATGGCGACGCTCTAGAAAAGTCCCTCGCCCCGCGAACTAAGGCCGAATGTATGCCCGACAACTTAAAAGTTGAATAAACGCCAAACTACTAAAACTCGTTCCGTCCTTCTTGAACATTTATCTTTGACTGCTTAGGAAAAAGGACAATTGCCGCGACGCGTCTGCAAACAAGGTGTAAAGTGATCTGCGGTGATAATTGAAAATGAATTTTAATGTCGTTACATAAAGTTGAAGTCGGATTGGAGTTTTACGGTTGTTATGACGTTGTCGTTGCTTCGGATGCAAGAAGGCTGGGGGGATACGCGTCGTAAGACAGGGGGACTGAAATCTCGCGAACAAAACGGCTCGGTAATAAAGACGAGAAGAGAAAGTGAATTTAAGGGGACGAAAGGAGATTACGTTCGAGGTTCTTTTTTAATTTGACTGATATAATATTAATTTTTCCTTTTCCCCTTCACTAAAAGTTTTAATGTTCTTTGTAACTAATATCTTGGTATCTATTTATTTTGTGATTTCTTTTTCTCGATGTCTATGAATTCCTAGTACACTTACTTTTGTACATCCAGCTAAGTATTATTATTTTTATCCTAAAATAATATAAACTTTTTCTCTACTTCGAAATTGCTTGTCAATACTTATTTACGCAAATTAGAGCGTTATTTCTTCGAGAAATTACTTTAATTCCACCAAAAATATGCCTATTCAAAACGCTTCCTACAAACGTTGTATTATGAACAATTAGACACAGGTACACCGTCGGTGTTCCCCCATTCGCACGGCGTAAGGAAAGACGGTTTCACGCCGTCTAGCCGGCGCGAACTTTTGCTGCTGGATAATATGGAGACGTACTCGGTTTATTTATTTATGGGAAACCTTGAATTTTGGTCAAGGTTGGCAGAAGTCCAAATACGCACCAAGTTACACTAGCATGTAGTTTTGTTTTATAAGTAAATGTTTATAAAGTAACCTATCTTCAAAGAAGTTTTTCTTGAAGATTTTCTCAAGTCTGAAAGTAAATAAGTCCAATACCGACACTTAAACCTCAGAATGCTTACACTTGGCGCGAAATAGAGCGATAATTAATTACTTAAAAAAAAAGTTTACATTATTGTCTTACAAGAATACTATAATTTTTCAGTTACAGCTCTCACTTTTCACAGCTGTGATGTATTCGTACCTACTAATTAATGTCTCTTGAAACAGAAAATCGAAAAATTAAAATCATGAGATCAAAATACATAGAAGCCCATCAATAAAATTACATAATCTCTCGCATGAACAAAGACATTCTCAAAAAATATACCTCAAACCGTCCGTCCCTTTTCACAAGGCATAATTCCCCCCTAAATTATCCGTATCCGTTACAGTTCGCCTCAACGCCCCCCGAAGTTGTGAGATGTCTACAGTGATTCCTTGCATACAAACGGCGTGCTCACGGTATTACGACTTCTGCGTTTGTCGTCAATTGGCTGTCTACTTATTTGTAACGTTCAGTTTCGCACGTATTTTGGTGAGGTTGTTTGGGTGATTAATTTGAGGTTATGGGATGACTATGAATTAAGTTCGCCATCAAAAATAGGGCACTTTACTCTACCAATTATTTGACACATTTTTATGAACTAACAAAACGTGATATTCAGATTTAGTGCCTTTTTCCTACGATGCGGATCTGGTCCGCATGCGGGCTGCATCCCAAGAAAAAGGCACTTACGTAACTTTTATTACAATCGCTCATATTGGTGGGAAAATTGAATATCATATTGAAATTGTTGTTAATGTAATCAATAGAATTATTGTAGTAAAAAAAGAAAATTAAATAAAAACAAGTCATTTCAAGGCCTCGGGAACTTAGTCGCTGCTAACTTTGTATACGCATACGCTTATTACATTTACACACTCCAAATACAATCTAACATGACGAACACCTAAGAAAACCATGTTTTATGCCTTTGCCTATGAAAATAATAAAAAAGTAAATAAAAAAAAAACAAAACGTACAAGTCATATCTGGCGCGGCGTCAATACCTTCAGTCGGGTCCAGCCGCTTGGCCCTTCGGCCGTGCTTGCTGTTGTTGTGCACAAACATGTTGTCGGATATCGCTAGGAGGGGGCCGTCGACCATCACTTGTGTTGATATCACTACCTGGAAAGAAATGCTGCTTTAGTTTTGATATTATTTTCGAAACAGATTTTAGCTTAGTTTCATTGACTGCCAAGCTGTAGGTCCTATCTCAGTTGCGGTAGGAGTGGGAGCTTAAATGTACTAGTATAAACACTTGGCCCTAACTAATATATTGGTTCTTTACGATAAAATACTATACTTTAGAAAAATAGGATACTTTACTTTGTCGTTTACAACTGAATGATGAGTAGGCCTGCTATACACGGACAGCTTGAAGCAGTTAGTGTCGACAGCTTCAAGCTGCGACTCCATAGCAAACTACGGAAACAGTTGTAACTGCTCGAGCGGTTCCGTGTATGTGTGTACCTACGTAGTGTACTGTAGTTTGCTATGCAGTCGCAGCTAGAAGCTGTCGGATACTAGCTGCTTCAAGCTGTCCGTGTATGGCGGGCCTTACAGAAGAGCCTTTCATTGATTGATCCATTATTTTCACTTATGACACGTTTTGAAATTTTGCATTTATGGTATTGCAAATAGAAACTATGGACACTGTAAACTGAACCACGAAGATAAAAAACGATAAGCATTCTCTAGATTTCTCATAATAAACAATGTTATCCAGACAGAACAAACATTTGTTCTACAAATGTACGCGATGCTACCTATAAAGTTCAAGATCATCGTACGGTCGGCAAAAATCGTTGAGTTTCTAGTACCCATAAAAAGCAGTTTGAACAAATATACCTGCGTCAGTTATTGTCTAAACCTGACAAAATACAGAGTACAAATAGTATTAAACTATCTTATGAGTTATCAACCAAAAACTTTATACTACTGACTATTCGGTTTCAATATTAAAATAATATTCTCTATCTTTATTATAAATCACCTTTTTACCTAGTTTATGTGTACACCTGACCAAAAAAAAAACACGCATCCAAATTGAAGATCGCAGTGCGGTCAGAAATAAAACCGGCTCACAATGGTTGCTTGGTAACGCACGAAAAGGAGAGTCCCTTGGGAGGGGCCACGGCGGCCCAATAGGTATGCAAGGAAGTGCATGTGCATGTGTGCGGGCGATTGATGACTTGTAGTGTAGGAGTGGCTTTATTTTGACAATACATTTTTTTTGTCAAAATACGCGGAAGACGTAGGGATTTTAGATGCTACTATTGTAGAACTGTCGAATCGGTTATTTAATCTTTAGAAACTTATTTTTACTTATTATCGACGACGACGCTTATTAATTATCATCTTAATAATAAGCGTCGTACATTTTTATGTATTATGACATACATATTACGAAACCACTATAGTAGGTTATTAAGTAAGTTAATGTATAGCCACACTTGCGGTGATAATAAATATAAAAATGCTAGAGTAAAATAGACTCCACATTTTTTAACCTAAAGCACAGATTAAGTAATAGTACCAAGGTACCTAAAGTATGAAATTCTAAACTAGAAAGCTATAAATGAAAATTGAAACCAAAATATGATATCGAGAAAACGACAAAACTGCAAATGTGTACTCTAAAATGCATTCACGAAATAACGCTACATATATTATTCAAACCGATAAAGAGACTGCATTATTTCGATTTGGAGTGCCATAAATATGTACATGGATATATATTATGCCCATATATTCTTACCCTTGAAACGGTGGGGAACGACCACTGAATTATTCAATGACACACAGAAAGCCCAAATATAGACATAACCACGCACACATACTTAGATATTGCTAGTATTTCTAATGTACACAGAAATGGGTTCTATACGTATGAGGTATAAGTTTCATGTTTGCTTAAAGTTTGGCAAAGGACACGTAAGACAAATATGTCTTAGCCGACGGCAGAAGCAAATTTGTACTCATAAGTAGTCTGAATGCACCTTTAGTTGTGGCAGGGTTGCCGCTAATTAGTTGGGAATTAAAAGATATGGGACTTAGTTGTTTGGTAATTGTGAGTTATGAATACGACGACTTTCAAGTTTACGAACTTTCTGTGTACAATTTGACACACTTATAAAACTGAGAGCACACATACATGAGATATGTACTAAATATTTTTAAAATAAATAAGTAAGGAAGAATCAAAAATAGTCATAAGTAACTTCAATGAAAAATCACAGTTCCTCTTAAAGTTAAAAAAAAGGCTCAAATGTAAACAAATCAAATAATTAAGTTGAAAAGTAAAAGAACAAGCAGACATCGTGAGTAAATAAATAAACTCGTATAAATAAATTTAATTTCATCCCTCCCCTAAATTGGAGGGGCTTCAAATATTCAGAAGTCGTGAACGCAACCCTTCCTACAGTTAAGGCGATACACCAATTTTGGGGTCTAAAGAATGAAACATCTTACGTTANTCACGTTAAACTTAATTATTAAGATTCATTGAGTAGTTAGGATGAATTTTTAAAGCAAGCTTACTTACTTAAAGTTACCTATGAACTTTGATGTTACTTTCTTAGAAGCTTAATCATCCAACAAGTATTAAAACCCAGTTAATCTTTTGTGTGATGTTGCCGCATTTTATCTTTGATGAATTTTTTACATTCTTCTCCTGAAACCCTTTGCAGAATCAATTGCTTCCCTTATATTTTTAAGTAGGCAAACACTAGTGACAATCTTGCCTGAAGATTAAACCAAAACTTATTTAGAGCGAGGACGATATTCGTAAAAGTTAGAGTTAACAGTTAAGGGATGTCACTGCACAGCACTTACACTTCTTAGAGTAGGCGCACACCGTTGATTTTTAGTTGGCCGATAGTTGTGCCCGATTTTAATTTGTATGAAGAATCGGCCAAATCGAATCGGCGTAGTGTGCGCACTTCCATACATGCCCATACTGATCAACTGCCCGACTAAACTATCGGCCGACGAAAAATCAACAGTGTGCGCCTACTCAACTGTTAATATTTTGACTCAAGGTCGAAACAAAAGACAAACGCTACTACCCACACCTTGTAACAGTGAAATGAGGTCACTGAACCACAATAAACCTCTGTATTTTGATATTCTGCCTCAAGGTCAAAACAAAAGACAAACGCCCACACCTTGGGCCACTCAGCTAGAGCAATACAGACAGACTGGCGTGCGGAACGGGCCAATTTTTCCTCGCGTAGGTAAACAACCTACCGTTTACCTGTCGACAGCGAGACATTATAACTATGAATTGAACTTTAGACGATGTTTACTATCTTAACTTTATTATGACGCAAAATTAGCTTGTTGGGTAAATCAGCAGGCCTTTTATAAGAATCTGGTGAAAGGTAGCTCTTAAATGAATGTTATAATTACCTAGGTACATTTTCCACACTGTAGTATTTTTGAAGAAGATCCTTCATAATCTCTACTGGCCTTTATGTAATCTACCACCTACCAAATGATAAAATTCTGAAACACTCACTTGAAATCTTCTCATGTCTCGTGGATTGCCGGCATTTTTCAAACAATTCTGGTTGCATTTTAGGAAGAATTTCAGGAAAAATCTGCAACAAAAGAGATAACATTTAAAAAGTTACTCTCTAAACATAGACTTTAAACGAGTATTAGATAATTTTTGACTTTAAAGTTTGCAGGCAAAATGTAAAGATCTGCTAAAGTTAAAAAATATCAGAAAGGTTAACTATGATTTTTACGCACATATCGAGAGCTGTCACGAGTACCGAGTGGAGCAATAAATATCACGTTCCAGCCGTGTGAACAGATAATGCGATACAAATGATGCGGACACATAAATCAGTTGCGTGAACTGTTTCCTATTAGTAGGCAGTTAAGTGTTGGGCTTCAAAGATGCAATACCGAAAAAGTGTTTTTAACAGATTTTTTTAATAATAATAGGCTTTTGATATGTGTCAAACGAAACGACGACGGCAAAACGTAAGCTCCAAAGCGCGGTATTAGTTATCATTTTAATTAAAAAAAATATAGAGATAGATACAAAATATTTAAAGATATAATATGATAAGTTGAAAAGGAACTGTAATATTTGACAATAACTTTTTTGCTTTGTTTTTTTAATTGAGACATTATGTTTAACCTACACAGGACTAATATTTTGACATGTCAAAAGCCATCTGCTTCCACTTCAAACGGCATAGCTAATTTGTTTCTTGTGTTCCCGAATTTTTACTTTCCGCTCTTCCAGATAGTCGTTAAGTTTTTGTCTGTGGTTGTTATAAAAAGCTTATGTTATGACACGTAAAATACATCAAATTAGCAACTGTTTATAGAGACTGCATGGAGCATGGCATGGACAGAATTTAGTATAATTTTCAGGGATTAAATACATGAAATATTTTGCATTGACCTTAGTCAAACAAATAAGTTCAACTCTATAAGCAACCACTCAAAAATGATAGCCAAATTGAATTCCCACGTAAGATTGAAATACGAATTCGTATTTTATTTTCATGTCAAAACGAAATCAAACAATTTCCAGCCAGAAGGATCGGGCCAACTATCGGCAGATCGGATTACAACAATAGCTGCGCTTTGCAAGTTTGTCTTGCGGTTTTGCTGTGGGATTGTAAGTCTTATGGGGTTGTGTTAAGGTTCGGGGGTAAAGTGGGGTGGTAGTGCGTACGATCACGATGAATGCTTTAGCAGAAATATTTTACATGGCCCGAGGCTGCCGATGCCGCCGCCGAATACGACCGTGCCAACAGTCGGGATGTCGATAGAGCGGGCATGTCGATTTTACGTAGGCAGAGTAACCACTTCGTTAATTTTAGAGTTGTATGTCAAGTTTTATACTCATAATATTATTTTTTTCATATAATTAACATGACATAACGTGAGCTATAATAAAATTTGAAATAGGCAAATAGAGTATTGAGAAAATATTATGGAAAAATTGGTTTGTAAAAGCTCATGCAATGGATAATAATTGATTAAAGAGTCAAACTTTATGATCGTCAAAAGTTTACCATTATTTGAAGGAAAAACACCTTTTCAACACATTTTCAGTACTTATAATTATGAACCATTTTTAACTGTTTAAGCAGATAATATTGTTCAGGTAGTTCAATTATACCCACCTAAATGGCGATAATGTTTACGACACACGTGTGCGCTTTGCTGAAAATTTATTATCACGTTGTATGAATTGAACGTATATTCTAGTCATCTTACCAAGTCTATTATTCTTTGTACATTGTAGTCATCTGACCAAGCATATTTTATTAATATGTATTTTCGTTTGCACTGGTATTAGCAGCTCTATGAGCTCCAGCGAGCGCGAACGTTTGTCGAGCCGGCGGCGACGCACATCTGTTCCCGCATTATTTATGTTAAACACCTTATGTCGCAATATCGCGAGTTAGCTGCCACGACACCTACGTTTCAATGGTTGTATTTTTAGATTGACATTGAGTGATAACGTTCTTTGGTTCTGTATTTATAGAAGTCTAGGGCGTAAATCACGGTAAGTTTTGGGAGGTTAATGGGATTTTTGTTAGATATCAATGGTATTACTGAATCATATTTTACGTATTGTGAAAGTAATATTAAGCTTTGTGAGCCTCAACAAGAAGTCGTGGGTACCTAAGACTGACTTTTAAGCAAGAAGGTTGACAATGTCTGAGACATCATAAAAAGCTTTCACTACACGTTATCATCGCAAAACGAACCTAAGACGTTGTAGGTATGTCTAAAGATCTGTTTCACTAAGTACTTACTGATAATGTCTCTGATAGCCACAAGGAACTTATCTGTCAGATAAACTAATTTTGGTTTTACGGTCACTGATAGTAGCAGCCTTTATCAAATAACTAGTAGAAACTATCAGGAAGCGCTGAAACAAGCCCCAAACCGTACCTTCAAAATACAGGTAAATTATGTTCGTGATTCGTTCCCATAACACATGGTTTATTCCCGGATGCCTTATAAAACTTTCGAGCAGCTTAAGCTTGACCATTAATATCGTAAGGGTCACCACGTTATCCTGTGGCTCTCGCTAAGCCACCGGAGTTACGATCTGGGGTGGTAAGTGAAATCTATGGGATAGGTGCCATGGTTTTATAATCTATACGGAATGCACGCAATGGGTGTAAAAATATACGATGCTATTTGCTTTGAGTTAACCAATAATAAATAAAAAATACTGTTATCACTTTCACTTCTGATAGAGCATGTTATCAATTAGTTAATTCATGTAATTTTTAGGGGAAATAAAGTTATTTAAACCTAGAGAGAATGATTATTGCAATATACCTAAATGATCCTAATTTTTGATACCCAAAGCTTTTTAGCACCTATCATTATTTATTGAAACACAACGTAAATATTATAAATTTTCTGCAAAACATTATTAGCAATCAAGTAGCGATTACAATATTTTACATTTGATTAGGCAGGTTTCCGGATTCAAGACAACAACCGCACCCGATTTTAAGTTTAGTTAAAGTTCAGATCATAGTATTTTGGAAAAAAAATACATGAAAGTTATTACTTGTACTATGTTTACTTTACTTAATACTCTACAAGAATCATGCAACAAGCTTTTGCTGTTTCTCGTACTATAGTTTTTTATGCATGGGGTCAAGCAACTTCCCCCAAAGTTTCCGTAAACAAACATGGCGTCCATAAAGCATCACTCCACTTACATAATAAAGCCGTAAAAACTAAAACCTTAGAGGCAAGTCCTCGAATCAGTCCAGCTCCATAAACCCTGAAGGGAGCAGGGGGAATATTTACCTATCGCATCACAGAAGAAGTTCCTCGTAAAACTACCCTCGCTTTTCATCCCGCACCTATAATGGTGGTAGAGACCGCAAAAATATTTTAGTTGATAGTTTTGAGGTGATAATAATGGAGAGTAAAAAAACGTATCCTATTTTAAGACTGGTTGAAGTGTTTTTAACGCAGATTCACTGTAAACAAAATAAAATAATACTAGATAGAAATTAGTTCATGGAAACAGACAGCAATATAGTCTGTAGCAACTAAATATATTTTCACAGTGACATTTGCAAATTGGAAATAAAGTTATTTATTGATAAAATTATCATTTTCAAAGCACTAAAGGAATTCCAAATAAGTTTGCTTTCTACCCACTTGGGAACAACATAACGACTGATGTTTAAATTATTTACTAACTCTTCCAAAACTTTAGGAATTCCTTAATTTTCATCTGTTCAACTCAAGTCACACTGACACGCAAGAATGCCAAAACCTTAGTTAAAACAACTTAGAATGAATTTAATTAGAAATCTAAGTGAATATTTGTTTTACAAAACGTTGCAATATAATAAAGATCTAAGATACCACTACACGTCTCACTATAGCATGAAAAAATCCACTTCGGCATTAAGTCCGTAGAGCGTGGCTTCAAGACTGAACATTCCCCCTACCCACCCACTGGGCCGCGTGCTATGTTCATTTACATCCGATACCCAATGGCGAAAAACTTTATATTCATAAATCCTTATAAGCTCTATTTCTACCCTCACGTCATATAGATGACATAGCAAAAAATTCAGTTGTCATAAGTTTATTTTTAATGCGACTTGTTTTAATTGGCACATTTTGAGGGTCCGTTCGTTTTTGTGAGACAAGTCAAAGAGAATTTTTTATTAACAAACGTTGATTCATGTGTTATTAAGCATAAATTTTCACAGCTAGAATCAATTATCTCATAATATTCATAAGTGAAAAGATCTTACACAATATTATACTCGTAGAAACATAATAGGAACATCCTCACACGACACCCGAAAAAAAATCGCGATCGTACATTCGTAAATCGAACGTGCAATGAAGAACGCGGGATCTGACAACAAGCGGTCTCTTATAACTTTTCCCTTTTAACCTTTCCCCGGGCGGGCCGCATCTCCCCCGGGAGGCGGTCCCCAGGGCCGGCGAGGCCCCCACGCCCCCACCACTCAATACCGACACGCCATGCGGACGGCAAAGATCAAATAGGCAGAAGAATGTTTTTGAAAAATTTAATTTCGAATAGTTTTTGACTAATTGACAGGTAAGTTAATTTCGGATGATTAATAAAGAAAACTGAAAGTAGGTAGGTAGCACACTTTTAAATTATCTGTCCTACTTTTACCTACATGAAAATTATAGCAAAATCAAAATAATACTAAATCTTTTATGTAACCAGACATATTGTTACTTGCACTTGCAGCCATCAACTGTGGAGAAAAAAATATATTCTCCGTGTGTTGGCTTTTATAAGAATCTTTCATAAGTTCTAGCATATTAATTTAGAAGCATTCGACAGTAAACATAGAAAAGGCCGAAAAGCTCTATTTTCTTTTTTTACAAGGAAAAAAAATTCATCGGAAGTCAACCTTTGTTATTTTCTTATTATTATATTGGTTCTAGAAGCAACAACACTGTGTTTTTAAGATTGTTCTTATGAGGCTTTCTATTACAAAAATGTATCAAAATAATAACATTAGCAAAGGAATAAAACTAATGTAAAAAACACAGTCTAAAACACCAAAAATTAGTCACCTGTCTCTTCTGCGCTATG